ATACACATATATATATATGTGTATGTATATATTATTATTCTTATTCTTCTTCTTATTCTTACTATTATTATTATCATCATCATTATCATTATTATTATTACCATTATCATTACTATATTATCACTATCATTGTCATCATTATTATTAACAAACAATTATAGAATGTACTGCTAAGCTGCTCAAGCTCCTTCCTCAAAACCCCTGGGGCTCTGAGGGCCTCGGCGGTGCATGCTGCTTGTCTCGCCAGTACCTGCTCCCACAACGAGGCACTCCAGGTGCAAGTGCCCCAAGAAATCTCCGCCTTCGGCCGAGGCCGAAGTCGATGAGGTACAGAACATGGACCTTACGCCCAACACCAAACCTCAGCGTGGGGACTTGAGCACTCTGCTTTTTAGCTGCCCCCCTTCGACCCGGATGGATTTTTGGCAAGCCGCATGAAGTTCTCAGGCTTGATGTCCTGAAGTGACCGTCCGGCAAGCGCCGACAGAGAATTTGGACCGGAGGCTCAGGCTTGGGGCATCGGAGCTGGCAGAACATAGCTGGCTAATCTCCAACACCGCCCTCCTGACTCTACCTGACTTCGCCGGGCGGCTCGGTGAATGAGGCCGAGGGAATGGAGAAACTCCAAACGCCGAAGGATCTGATCGATGATCAGCACCTGGGGTGGACAGGAGGGGCTGGGACTTGTGTCTGTGTTGTTTGGTTGGTTAGGTGGTTCGTTGGCTGGGCTGGCTGCTGTATGGGTGTCGGGGTGCAGGTGTGTGGAGGTGGATCCAGGTTGTAGCGTGCGTTGGCGCGGGACGCCTGTAGTGTACCGTTTAAGTGCTCGCAGCAGGACGTGGAAATCTCCAGTGTGAGTGGCATGGTGGGGCTGCCTGAAAAAGCGCGATGCGTGGGTAAGCTTGGTTCTGCCAAGCAGCGCAAGATTGCGGCGTGAGTTTCTTGCCGCACTGCTGCATTCGGTCCTGCCGCGGTGTCAGCAAGCTAATGGCAAAACATACATCCGCGATCCGCAGATGCGACTATGCCTATGATGTCATGATGGCGATGACTATAGAGATGGCAATGATGATGCTGATGATGGTGCTGGTCTGGTGGCGCGCGGTGATGCTGATCACAACGATGACGGTGGTGGTGAGGGTGGGGGGACAGATGGTGAAATGGCATCCTGAGCTGAGATTGGTAACCATGATGAGAACGGAGCATGATGTTTGATTGAGGTAGTGCTGCTGGTATCATCCATTGGCCCAGCCTCTAAGGACCGGCCGAGCAGCTCCATCGCCTGCAGTGATCGGGAATGAAAAGCAGCAGCAGGGGTCATGGCAGCCAGACGCAACGCAGCACATGTAGCTTCATGAGAGCTACGGTCATGAAGACTCTGAGTCTGCGGCTAGACAGCTGAAGCGGCCCTCCACCCCGAACCTGGCGGGACTCTCCGCTGAGAGAACTTCTGTTACTGGGCGCATACCCACGCACAGAGCAGCTACACTTACACAAAACTTGTGCTTCCGGAAAAATCGAGAACACAAATTGGGTGTTCGAGAATGCCTCGTGAGATTCAGAGGGTTCATGCTGCCAGCCCAACCATATCCAATCACGAAAACTGGTGCAGACAGGCTTCCAAAATGGCTTGGAGAAGCCCTGCGCATTCTCGTTCGCGGCACTGATAATCCGCAACGTGTCCTCTCTAAGAAATCCGCTACCCTACCATTCTCGGCATACCATCACCAGGGAACAGCACTGAAAATCTGCTTTCAGCAAGCCCTCGGTCATACTCCGTCTTCAGCTGGTTCGGAGCACCTTTCGCTTGGTTGTCCTCGAACTTTATGGCAACGGTTTCCTGAGAATGCGCCAAGCGTTCATAAGTTTATCGGCGGCACATCACAGATGGGCATGAGCAGTCAACATCGAGGCAGTGTCCGGAAACGGCGAATCTGACAGCCTTTGTCTACTTCCCGAGAAGTGCTTCACAAGAGCCTCTCCGCTTTTGTCCGAGTTTCTCCACTACTCTTTTCAATACCTGCAGACAGCGGCAATACTGACAAAGACAACCGAGGTCAACTGCCGCGCAGCTGTGCAGACTGCCATGCAACTGAAGATGTCAGGCTAACATATCGGCCTTTCCAGACTTGGCCAAAGCATCCGGCGCCAAGTGCTTTTTGAACTTCGAAACGTCCTCGGCTTCGAGACAGGAGAGCTGCGCAACACACAAGGACCCTTGCAACGGCTTCGGAACTGAAGCTTGGTGGATGTACACCATGCAGCCGAGGGCACCATTTCCGATCTCTTTGGGAGGTTTCGGAGGCATGGCAGCATAACGACTTGAGTCTTTACATTCAATACTGGCGATTGAGCCCGAGCCGCGGTGCAGTGATATATTATGGTGATATGCAGAGCATGCAACTCAGACAACACACGCATGCAGTTGAAAAGTCTTCGATCCTGTGCGACAAATTTTCATAGACGCTGCAGAGACGCAGCGGCTGCCTACCACTCAGGAAACATGCCATCCAAGGCTCATCGTAATGCCCTCGAGGATGCAACGTCGCCTGAGCTATCCAAGTCAAGCTTGAACGTAGAATTCGCCGGGCCGTCTTGCTTAGCGAGCGAAGCACGGCAAGCATGTAGCCTGGGCCTAGGCAGCCTGGCTCGCGCCCTGCTTCGAGCCAAGGCACCCGAGATTGGGACTTCTTGGTGAAGGTTGGCCCACTGTAGCCGCTGAAGGGCCCCTTGCAAGGAGAGCATAGTCGAGCCCCAAGGCTACGAGTGCTTGGACCTCGGCTCTGTGCTTTGGGCTGTGCCTGCAGGGCAACGAGGATCTTGGGGGGCTGCTTTCCGATGATCCGTCGACGGTCTTGAGCCTGGACCGGGGAGAGGGTTCCTTCTCAGACCGGTCTGCCACACACACGCCGGATTCTCACATGAGTTCGGGGCCAACCGGCCAACCCTTTCAAGCTAGCCTTCTGAGATGGGACTGCGACTGATCACGGCCCATGTCAGTTGCTTCTCCCTCGCTCGGGGCCTCGGGAAAGATGTCGTCAAAGGACTGGCCTCTGCAGCAACAACAGTCCGGGCAAACCGAGATGAGACATCAGCTTCGTCTGACCTGGAAGAGAAGTCTCTGAAGCCTCAAATGTCAAAAGCTCTGAAACCTGGCCGACGCTTGTAGCCCTTAGGCCCATGGCCAAGCACCGAGGCGGCAAAAGCGTGGAAGCGCTTGGGGCCTCGTTGAAGCGTTCGATCAAGGCTGGTCTTCACGAAATAAGCTACAGTAGCGGATACAACAAGCATTCCGCAGAGAGGACACGAAGAGAAACTCCAGAAGCCAGAAAGGAAGAAGCGCCTTGAATCGCAAGACAATCGGCCAATGTAACATCTACAGTAAGGCCGGCCACTCCCCTGTCCAACCCCACATTAGGCGATCGCTGCAATACCACAAGCATCCTGCACCAATGAACAGGCTTGAAGCATACACTAACCCCGAAACATCACTCCCGACACCCATTACAAACTGAAGGCAAGTAATAGCTTCGGCAAGGTGGGGGAAACACATCCCCCCAAACATGCACATTGACAGGTCATGAACATACCGCATGCCCCAAACCTTCTAATCTCCGCGCAAAGATAGGTACACACATCCAAAACAAACTGAAGACGAAACGTTGGAAACGTCCCCCCTAACGTGAGCTTAGATTTAGGTTTATTTCTGCTTCCCGAGGCAAAAGCCTTACTTGTTGACAGCTGCGGTTCCTATGTCAACGACAAACTCGGCTGTCACGCCTTGTCCCATTTTTTTGGCTGGTACACCAGCAGCGAGGTTTCTCGTTCTGCTGATGCAGTGTCACTAAACATCAACAGCGAGTCTTGTTCGGCGGGGTGTGTGAGGAGATATTCATAGGGTGGCTGCTGATGTATCTCTCTCGAAGGCCCCAATCGAAGGCCCCCTGTGGACCCAAACAATTCTCTGACATTACGGCCAAGGCCATGAACACCATGCAATCGCTGTCGCTGAAAAGCGGCTGTCTCCAGTCATGGCCACGAGTTGCTGGCTCTCTATTTGGAGCCCGAAGCCAACACTTCTCCAAACTCTGATGCTGAATCTGACGCGGAAATGATCCAAACCGTGCAAGTCCTCAAGCAGCCCGGGCCTCTGCCGCGAACGCTCTCGCTTGGCTTTGGCTTTGGCTTTGTGGCTTTGGTCTTTGCCGTGGCCTGCGGGCATTACAGTAAGCCAGAGCTACGGTGGCCCGAATATGTCCACAAGGACAGTCTCTGAGGAATTCAAGGCCTTCGGTTTCGCTTTTGCCTTTGGCTTCTGGGGCTTCTCGGCCTTAGGTGATTCGAACAAGACGAGCGAGAAATCCCCTCACCCAGGTCAGACCGAGGCTTCAGGATGGTATCGCTCAGTTCGGGCAGCTCATGTTGGTGGACAATGTTGAGCTGCGTGCAATCAGATTCAACCCAGAAGAAGACCCCTTTCCAACATGATTTGCAGCGGTAGCAGCAACAAGCTTTCCCGGATTCCTCTTCTTCGCCGTCATCTGGTCAGGGCGACTGTCCAGAGGCCGCAACTCATGCAACCAACTGTTAGCAATAGGCTGCATGCGGCCGCTGCTGGGACCGGCCTCCGCACGTCGGAAGGTGGCCACCGGGTGAGCCACTGTTTGAGCCCAGAAGTCGCCAAAGATCTTTGCACTTTGCTACGGCAGACGCAGTCGCTCCGAGACCTAAGGTGACATCGGGCCCGAAAAGACCCAGAGCTCACACACATCAACTCTTCTGACAAGCCCGAACCAGCTAAATTGAAGGACAAGAAGTCAAGCTCGACGAAAGACTTCTGGCGACCATAGGACGCTTACCTGCAGATGCATCGCTACTTGCTGGCCGGCTCGGCCAGGCGGCCAAGCATGCTAAAGCCTATAGAAACCGAGGGCCCCCCTCTGCTCGTGTATCATCTTGTATCCTGGAAACGCCAAAACTCCAGTGCCCTCTTACTCTCTATGTCCTCTGGCATTTCAGCCCCAACCCAACCTAAAAGGCATCGTTGGCACCTGCTTCGCGTCCTCAAAGAGAACCTGGCGCCAAGGCAGAGAACCGGCTCTTGCATCTCGAGAAGGGGCAGTGCGAGGCGTATGTAGAACCTGGGAGAAGATCCTGGCTTCGAATGGCTGGCCTTGTAGTAAGCAGCATCGCCTGCCTCAGGAAGACTCACGTGACTCGCAGCCCGATCATGCAATGCTTGTGTTCGGGCACTACGATCTATAGCGCACCGCGGGCACGTGAGTGTTTGCGCTGTCTTGCCGTCGGTCATCTTGTGGCTTCTCGTTGAATTGGGAAACCAGCCGCACCCCTCGTCGTGAGCTCCAGCGAATCTGATCTCAGGCCGCAGCTGCTTGGCGCAACTCCTCCTGCAAGCTGTCGAAGGCTTGCTGAAGTTTGCAGCCTGCGTCTGAGGACCGACCGACTGCCTCGAAAAATTGAGAGTCGGGTCGGATTTTACTCACAGCCTGTTTCGCGACTCCAAGCCTCCATTGAACGTTACACTCCCGAGACAGAGAAGCCAGCTACCATCTCTCCCGTGAGAGCATCGATCCGAGCCTGCTTGCTGAAGCATGCCAATTTCGGCTTTGGCCTTCTGAGCCTGGGCACCAGACTTATGCCTTTCTGTCCTTTTTTTGGCAGGGCGGAGAGCTGCGACACTCTCCTGCTCTTTCTCAGAACCTCGAAATACCTCGAAGCTTCCGAATGAGTTTGTATGGGGTGCTCTGCTGACCTTGGTGCAGAGAAACCTTCCAAACTTCCCCGAGCCTCGTCCCGCGCCGCACCAGCTTCGCAGAGGACCTCTGCACGCACCTCCTGTAAGGCGCCTCATCGCAGCATGGGACAGCCAGAAAGCTGGAGCAACACATTGTGCAAGAGACGTGTGCCTGGAATCGATCGTACACGAATGCAGTTACTTTCAAAAGGGTCATGGTCTTGTGGAAAGATCTGTCCTTCAAATCCAAATCTGCTCCAATCCCTGAACCAAGGGCGCACCCAACAGATGGTCCCAACGCTCTGCTGCCGGACCTCAGCTAGAGGCCGGCATAAGCCATTAACTGGACATGGGCTTCGACTAGGGTCGATTTTAGATGGCCGAAGGTTTCAGATTCTGCGGCCCGAAGCTGGCGCTGGGTTGCCTTGGCCTGGGGCGTCGGTTGACTCTGAGTTGGCTTCGGGCCCATACTTGGGGGTGCGCATGGAGTACAACAAACAGGGTCCAGCAATCGTGGCAAGCCTCGAACTCAATTAAATTGAATCCGCTGCAGTTGACGGTGTCCTGGGCCTGTTACGGAACACACCTAAATCCAAACCAACAGGCGTCCAACTAAAGCAATCCAAGCCTCGTTGAACATGGATCGAAGTTCGAGGGGCTCGTGTTTCTCTGGTGTTGTTGCATTACATTCGGACAAACACACGGTTCCAGAGTTCAGGAACGTGGTTGCAGCTCCTAGCTAGTAAGACAGCCTGTCACAGGTTACGGAACGACGTTTTTCATGGCGAGCACGATTGCATCCAATGTTGTCACAACCTGGAAAAGCATCAACTGTACACTGTACACTGTACACCGTCACACGCCCCTCAGAACACCGTTTCGCTTCCGGTGATCACGCGGCCAAGCACCTCGATTTGGGACGGCGACCGAACACAGTTCTCCTCCAAACCAGAAGGAACCACCCCACAGCGCGGTGGAACCCATGCTGCATCGAAGGATCCTCCCTCCTCGGTTTGCCAGGTGGTCTGCAGCGGGTGGCCTCTGTAGTTGATGGTGATGACCCGACCCAGGGAAACCGCCAGCCGCAGCACGACGCTTCCGTACTTGCGGGCCTTTCGTAAGTCACGCGAGCAATAGATGCCAGGTCCGAGCATCCCACCGACTGAGGGCTTAAACCCTTGCCGCTCGATGGCCGAAGCACATTCCGGGGATGTCCCGTGAAACATCTCGAAGACAAGGACATCTGCGGAACCCTTCGAGTTGGCTCGGGCCAACGGACGGCCGAAGCGGAATGGAGACAAGTGGCACTTCCTGCCATGAGCATCCACCTCTTCGGGTGCAAGGTCGACACCGCAATAGCAGCATCCGCCATAGCACGAAGCTTTGGCGCGAAATTGCAGGCGATGAAGATCGCAAGCGAAGGTAGCTCCCAAATGGGCCCCATAGTCGACCCCACTCACCGCCCCCCTCGCCAGCAAGCTCTTCACCAGTGCGACCAGGATTGGCGACATGCCGGCAAGGCCAAGCTCTTCATGCAGCGTGTAACTGCCTACATGCAGGACGGCTTCCAGCACGGCGGCCAGCCAGTCTTCCCCACGTGCAGGAAATCGCTCCTCCGCCAGCATCATGAACATCTCGGCCGCCAGCTGGATGGCGTCGCTCGGCAAGGTGAAGTTGAGGAAGTGCTGAAAGATCTCCACTACCATTGTCCTACTCAGCACGTGCCCAACGTTCTCAGGCTTGACCTGGAGAACCGGTTCAACCGCTTTGCGTTCTCTTGCCAGCTGCTCCTCCTGCTTTGCTCTTTGCTCACAAAGCTTGGACCTGATGCGGCCACTCTTGTCTTCGCCATTCCGATCCAGGATGCTGAGGCGACCTCGCTCTAGACTCCAGAATGATGTGCACAACTTTTGCAAGAATTCCGCATTGTGGCTCACCACCACAACGCCACCTTGAAAGGACCTCAGTCCGGCTTCCAAAGCCACAATGGCGCTGGGGTCCAAAAAGTTGGTTGGCTCATCAAGCAAGATCACGTGAGGCTTGATCCAAAGAGCGGCAGCCAGAACAAGCTTACTCATCTCACCGGCCGACAAGCTCCCGATGGGTCGCTGCGCCATCCGGTCCGTAAGGCCCACTGCACCCAAGTGCTTCAGAACCTCCTCACAACTCAGGGGTCGTGCAGCCATGCGCCCGTAGGCCGCCCTGCTGTCAAAGGCCACGCAAAGCATCTCCGCACCCATCTGCCGCAGGCGATGAGACGTCTCCCAGGTGTCGTGCACAAGGACACCCGCTTGCTCCTCGCCCGGCTGCATCTTCCACTGGACCTTGTAAAGCAGCCTCCCGGCCTCGGCCTTCTTCTCCAAGATTTCGGCCACCTCACGTCCCTTCCAAGACTTGGAGGCCTCGTCCCAGTAGAAAGGCCTGCCCCCGTGCCTCCCTGCCAGAACTCGCTGTGAAGCCTTCGAGAGAAGCCGAAGTCGGAGCTCTTCATCCCAGCCCGAACCGAATCTGGACTGTATGTACTCCACCGCCGTCCCTGCCAGGTGCTCTGACAAGTGGTAAAAGTGCTGCTGAGCTATGTAGGCCAGCCTTACATCCTCATGGTGCCAGACCGCATCATCACTCTCGCAGGTTGGTAGCAAGTCCCGCGCCAGCAAACTCAGAAGGGTGGACTTGCCCGCACCATTGCCTCCCACGACTCCGATGCGACACCTCTTGGTCAACTCCAGGGACGCGTTTGCGAGAGCAAGCTCCGGCTGACCCGCGTATCTGAAGCTGCACTCTGTGAGAGATGCTAGGACTCGGGGCAAACCTTCCACCCCCGGGTTCGGAAATGAGAAAGCATCAGAAACTTCACCCAAAGCGGGCGGTGCATCTGGCACCTTTGACGTAACCCCTGACAAGTTCAGGTCCGAAGCCTTTGCAAGAAGCTGCATAGCTCTTTCTGACCCACTGTGGTGATAGTCCAGCCTTCCATCATCGGTGATATGGATGATGTCCGTGCATACGGCTTCCAGGAAGCGATGGTCGTGCGAAATGATCATCATCGTCTTGTTGCTCTTGACCAGGCATTCTTGAAGCCAATCTCTGCTTGCCGAATCCAAGTGGTTCGTAGGCTCATCGAGAAGGTACAGGTCCGCGTCGCCTGCCAGTCCGCAAGCCAATGCCAAACGCATGCGCCAGCCGCCGCTTAGCTGTTCCAGAGTCAATCCCGGCTGAAGCTTCTCGAGTCCGGGCACATCCGCCACGCCGGACCTCAACCGCATATACTCTGCACACGCCATGGCCGGGTCAACACCGTCGAGGATGGCTTCGTACTGGATGTAACAACGGCTGAGCCCCTTCAACTCAAAGTGCCCCGATGCCAACTTTGACATCAACGTGGTCTTCCCCCGTCCGTTGTTGCCTACTAAGCCATAACGGTGGCTCCTCTGGATGTCCAGGGTCGCATCGCGCAGCAGGGGCTTCATGCCACCTCCATAGAGCAGCGTGAGGTTCTCTAGGCGACAGAGGCAATCCGGCCGCACATCGACCTCGTCTTTCCGGTCGCAAGGAACCTGGACCAAAGCGTCCACGATCTCTTCGCTTAAGCTCGCCTCCTGCAGGTACGGAAAGAGGAACTCTTTGAGGTCTTCTTTGCACTTCGCCAGGTCCTCTTGCGAGAGGACAAGCTGTCTCTAAACATACCATTGGCTGTCTTAGTCCCCTAGCCTCCTAGCAGCCTGCGGCACAGGACGCGTCCGGCCCCTGTCCTTCGAACTCAGCTCCTGCACGTCTTGAAGCAGGCAGGCCGCAGCTGAAACCACATACTCGAAGGCAGCTGCACCCAGGGTGTCCAGCACAGGGGCCAGAAGTTGGCGCAAGGTTTCTTCAGTTGCGCACATCGCACGTGACCCTTTGAGCCGTCGCTGCCTCGCAGACAACGCATAAACTTAAAACATCCGGGCGGGCTATGTGGCAACAAGGCTGCCGGCGCAACACTCGCATACTTGCATCTGAGTTCAATCCTGGGAAGCGGGCTGGCCCCAGTCATTGCATCTGGCGGCCGAAGGGGATCGAGCTAACCTTCAAACGATCGTACTATGAAACTGAGTCAGTGATCGGCTGCGTGTTGTTGGGCACTGGTGTCTACTGCCGACCGCTGCTTCACTTGAGAACTTTCCTGGCGGCGGCACGGTCCACGAGACATCAAGATCTTTCATCTTTCAGCGTATCTGGCTACGTCACCTGGACTTCAAAACGAGTACCGTCCACCGCAGCACCATGGGACCTTGGCCGGATCCTGCGCCACGCTTTTTCTGATGCCCTTCGGCTGACAAACTTCGGCTACCCTCACGTGAGGGCTGCTGGGCTGCATGGTGATACCTGACGAGGACATGAGCGTATCCCTGTGCCAGGCCCGCTTAACTCCTCTCCAGCAGGTGCAAATGGCTTGCCCTTTCTCTGCAACCTTGCTCGGTGTATGCATCGCTCGTAAGGGCAGGAGCTTTGCGACATCTCGCTCGTAGGAACTTTCGAGATGCACCTACCTTTACGGCACTGCAATCGCGGCCAGGCGGCACGACTGGCCAAAGCTTGCCAACTTATACGTCGACTGCAAGTCGACTTGACATCCCGCTGGTGGGGAGCACCAAGATTTCAGCTTGATGGTTCGACGAGCCAAGGCAGAAATAAGCTGCCAGGTAGCTCTGCATGAGGACGTTCTGAAACCACGAGCCAGTTGCAACCTGCCTTGAGCAGGCTGAGCTGGCCGAGGATAGACGAAGCCGATCGGCACGTGTTGCGCGAGCGCACAATCGGTCATGTTGCACACCACTCTTTAGTATTCCCAAGATTTCAATACCGCGGCTTGGCCTGGCGAGCTTGGCCCGCGGAGAAAGATTCAACGATGTGTGAAACGGTTCGGATGAGGGGATATCCTGCTCACCGGGGAAGGGCACGGGGTCACAGGACCTCCAGAGCACCCAAAACCACCAGGATCGGACGACGACAGCTGTTCAACCCGTCGTGAACCGAGCAAACATCGAAATTCAGTGGCTCACCGTGCAAAGGGAGCTGGACTCATCCAGCAAGGATTGGTTATCATGCGCATGTCTCTTCCAACTGTTTATGTACCCTTCTGCGGCCGTGACTGTCGAGCTTTTCTTGCGTCAACCCCTGGCTGGCGACCCTGTGTTAAACAGGAACGACCACACTTCGCTGCGCTGCCGGATCCAGGCCGCTCAGGCCGTTGAGATCGCTGGCCTCACCGGAACTGAAGACCTGTACAGGCGTGACTTCAAGCCGAAATCAAGGGGTCCGATTCTCATGGCCCACCCAGCCCATGCAAGTTCATTCACGAGAGAGCAGCTCACCTTAGCAACAGCCTCCAGATTCGCTGGGCCCACCTGTTTGTCGCCCACGCTTTCCAGGTCCGTCGTGTTGCTCGGTCGCCACTCTACCGGCCGATTTGTTCGCCGGATCCTGAGACTGCACTTGCTGCACTTGTCACGGAATTTCTGCGCTTCTGGCAGCCAATGGAGTTGTTATGCGGCCAGGCGCAGCTCATTCTGACAAGAATGCATCCTGCAGAAAACAGCGAACATGACAGCATGCTTGTTTGCAGCATTTGATGGCCGAGGTGCATCCTCACAAACTCTCTCGCATCTGGACCGAACCTGCCGACAAGGAGCATTGAACATTAATAAGAGCGGCCGTCATTGGGACAAGGATAACTGGACGGAAGCACGAGGTTTGCTTGTGCGTTCCGAAAGTACATGTTACAAGTTGCAGTGGAATTTCTGATACTTGTAGTAACTGTAGTATGCAGAAGAACGTCGACAAGCACAGACTACTAAAGTATCATGAGCAAGGACTCAAAACAACCTCATCAGAGCGACTCTGTTTATCGTTTGCGCATGCGGCGTGGCGCCTCCCAGAGTTGCTATCCACATTTTCCGGCCTTGGCAGGACAGTCGAGAGTTGCAAACTCCTGAATTGTGAGAACTTTCGCACATCTTAGCCGACATGATGAAAGCCCTTTCGCAGCAAGGTTGCGAAGAACACACGTCGATTCCGCTCTTGCTTTCACCTGCTCCTCCTGCTCACTATTGGCAGTGCTGGTGCCGACCCTGCCACATTCGCTAACGCTGCACCTCTGTGCATGTGTGCTTGCAAGATGTCAGATATATAATGGCTCTCGTGACAATCCAACCTGACAAAACATGTAGCCGTGCCTACCACTCGCACGAAGCACGGATGCACCGAACCAAGGCCAGGCTGCGGCAGAGCCCGGGGTGCCGAGCGCCTTCCGCGCGAGCTTCGTCCTGGATGAAAGGGTGGGTGGCTACGGAGGGCGCGGCGCAGGATCGCGCACGGGCGCAAATAGTTTGGTGCACGCACACTTGGTTCGGTTTGTTGTTTTGGATGCGCATGCTTTCCTCTTTCCAAAGTTATACCTGTTTTGGGTGCGCCCCTGTCAGCTCCAAGAATCGTGTTCCTGCGCGCCACAGTCCCGCACAACCTTGATCGCGTACAGCGCAGTGCAGGGGCCGCAAATCGCGCTGGCGCACCGCCTGGGGCGATTCATCGTGCTTGCCGGATGGCTCTTGGGGGCTGCTCAGCGAGTCGCTGGGCGCGGGGACTCCCCTTTGTTTTCACGCGCCACTCAGCTCCTCAAACACTGCTCAACTCACCTTTGCCGGGAGAGTAGTCTCAATATATGGTTCACGCATAGTGGGAGTCAGTCAAGTCAGTCAGTCATACGCCGCGGTCGACCGAGACAGGAATGGGTTTCTGAGTAAGAAGTAGTGCTTTTCAGTATTTAGGCGGCCACCGTGAAGTAGCCAGGCCAGGCTTGTACATGACCCCACTGTCTGGTATCGAACGGTGCGTCAAGCCATACCTGTCCACGCGCCTACTCGCCTCACATACCTACTGGTAGCAGGCTGAAGAGTTCCGGGTATGAACGCAGATACTTGCAAACTGTGGTCCAGTGGAGAGCTTAAGACCTTCCCGAACACAAGCAGCTGGCGTTGTACGAGCATGTCAGAGCATGTCAGCATGTCAGAAGCGGCACCGCAGCGTGCCCGAAAAACAGCCGTGTTTGGAACACGGCTGTTAAGAATAGAGGGTGGAATGCCAGTGATACGACGCAAACATCGGTTTTGAGAACCATCCAGGCGTTTCCGTTCGGCTGCGGAAGGACATAAACAACTCAGACCATACATCAGTTTGGAGTCAACCAGCGTTTTGCAAATATAAACCTTCCGATGAACAGGAAGGGAGGAGTGCTTCTAAACTTTTGCAAATCAGCAGAACCAGCTTTTGCCATCCCGATGCGGCGACCAAGCTCGTGTCAAGGCAAACCTCTGTATGTGTGACGACGGCACCGAGGTAGTTTGTGCCAGGCGACGATGTGTTCCCCACTCGGTGTGCGAATGCAAGCTCTGCATTGAACTGAAAGTAATTGGAACTTGTCCCAATGAAGTTCCATACCCTATGGTTTTCCAGCATCAGCGACTCTAGAGAGGAACTCCTGCAGGTGACCATCGCAAGTTGCGAGAAGTAACGTGTCATCTGCATACACAATGTCTGCCACATCTCCCTTTTCGTAACGACTGCAGATGGTGCATCAAGATTGGAAACGGCATCATGCATCAAGATTGTCATTGTCTCCCTTTTCGTAACGCCTGCAGATGGTGCATCAAGATTGGAAACGGCATCATGCATCAAGATTGTCATTGTCTCCCTTTTCGTAACGACTGCAGATGGTGCATCAAGATTGGAAACGGCATCATGCATCAAGATTGTCATTGTCATGATGGATAATAATTATGCTCAGAGCGCAAGCCTGAGAAATGCCAGATTTCTGACACCGTGCGGTAGAGGTGATTTCTTGGCCAACTACCTAAAAGTTTCGGTGAAGCATCATTGCCGAGATCATACCCAAGCAGAAATCTGGAATACCAAAACTGCGCAACGCATCGAGGAGACTGTCAATGTTGATGCTGTCGAAAGCTTTTTCCAGTCGAGTGCTGAGAGGCGTATTTGACCATTCCGATGCGCACAAGCCTTCTCAATCCTCCGCAAAACCACGAACATTGCATCTTCGGTACAGCGACGCTTCCGAAAACCGAACTAGCGATGCTCTGAAGACCTTTGGGGCGGTAATTGTTGGCATCGGCAGCGTCGCCCGCTTTAAGCATCATGGCAAGGAGGCTGTCGAGCATTCATCAGGAATAGTTTTGTTTTGCCAGCCGTAGTTGCAAAGATCGAGAGGCCATTGCAAATTGGAATCCGGCTCCGTCGCCAGAGCTTTGAAGATTTCAACAGGAATGTCTCCACCCTTCGTGGCCTTTCCATTGGACATCTTCCGGATTCGGAGCTCCTTGGTAGAGGAGGACCTAAGGGGGCATCAGTACCAACGGTCAAGGTAGTCTGCCGAACTTTCCACTGGATTCGTTCTGAGTGGTGTGCAAGAGTTTCCGCTCCTAGTTCCGATGAAACCAAATAAGCATCTTCATTGCGTGCTCGTCCTTGTTTCGCATGTCGTCCACGACGAAGTTTCTTCAGTCATTTCCAATCCCAGAAGATGCCAAACTTTCTAACCATTTTGACCGACCATGTTTGGCCGACCTCTGAACTTCAGCCCTCAAACGCTTTTCGGAGTCCCACTGACTGCGTAAACGAGCTTCATGTCGTCGTCGCAAGAGTTGTAGCATTCCCGAGCTAATCCAAGGTCTGCTTGCATGCACGTAAAAGGTACATGTTGTTTGACTGCTGCATTGACACAGTAGCAAGCTTTATTCTAGAAGTCGTTCTTGTCCAAGATTTCGACACCGAGCATACATTCAGAATACTGCACGGCGAACGGCTGGGGTTTGCAAAGCCGCCCAGTCTCTGTGCAGAGATTTTCCCCGACAAGCCCCGTCCAAACCAAGATTTGTAAAAATCGATGCTGTGACCGGGAAGTGACTGGAAGCCAGCGTAGCAAAGCGATCACTGCTCACATATTGCACATCAGTCAAATTGTATCGTGGTACTAATAGCAAGTCCCGGACCGAAAACGAACCAGGACATATTGGAATGAGGGGTGGGGTTCCAGGTTCGTAGTGAGTGACTTGTTTCTCTGCGGGCATGTTGCAGAAAGAGTTTGCGATCGCGAAGCCGTGTCTATGACAACACTCCAAGAAAATCGTGGCTCGGCATCTAAACTTGGAACCTGGCTTCAATGCCGAAGGAGTGCGGACCAACGATGTGGTGTTCACCGGGTCGTTGTTGGCCAATGCGAGCGCTCTTGTCACCAAATACAAATTTCGGATCATTTGTAGACGTGCCTGACATGACCCGGTCGAGCTTTTCGTAAAAATCCCACTTCTCACACTGCGGCCTCAAGTTGTGATGGGCAAGAACCGTAACAAGGGCAACATTCCCACCACGACATTTGATCTTCAGGCTTGCAATCCTTTCATTTACCTGGCAAAATCCCCGAATATAGCTCTTGAGTTTGCGAGAAATAACGAATCCCACGCCATACCATTCCGTGGTTTGTTGTGTGCCTCCTGAAAGGATGAAAGTAGCACCGTTGGACGAGTAGACATCGGACCTGGGCTTTCTCGTTTCCTGCAGACAGCAAATATCAATATCGAACCGAGACATGTACTGAACAATTTCCATCTCCTTGAGATCCGTGAGACCTTCAATATTCCAAGAAAAAAACTGTGATACGTTCCTTTTCTTGGGTAACACCATTACCCAACTCAAAATTGTCCGTCACCGATACCCGGTGATGGGGTGAAACCATGTCCACACGCCGCCCGGGCCCCTACTCGGGGCCTTTGCCCTTGCCTTTGTTGGAGGCGCGGGCTTTTGCTTTCTCCAAGCGCGAGAGGGCCTTGTTTGAAATGTCCGTCATCTCTGGGGATTTGTGTAACTCCTCCCATGCCTGCCATTCCCCATCGCACCAATTGAATTTCATGGCGCGAAGTTCTGCACGGACACTTTGACGATTTCTCTTCCAGCGACTGAGAGGACGCCTGAGTGAATGTCGTATCTTACGCATGAGGAATTGAAATTCCACGATACGAGCATTTTCTTCATGGCATAGCGAGCACCTTCCACCGCACGCACATCAAAGGGCAAATCGACTTTTGCGAAAAGATGCGATGAGATCGCCTGTGTTGGGGAAGAACCTCGTAATTTCTTTGACTCGTCCCTGATACTTTGAATGAAACTGTCACGATGTGATTCGCTCTGGCACTTCACGAACACCAAGTTGGAATCCGAACCCTCTTGGTACACGTCTGAAGGGCTTGGGGATGCAATACCAACTGATCGACAGTGTTTGTCCAACCATGTTTTTGCATCATCAAGGGAGGAAGCACCTGGAATGTTCCCGACCATCATGGATAAGGACCTCGGATTGTTGCTGTCATAGTGGCGGGGTGTAGTTTCCACAACTTTCAGTTTGACAGTCTCCTGCTCTAAAGCTTCGACGCGTTTCATAGCGGCGGCTACCTGATTTTCTGTTTCTGTAAGTCGAAGGCCCATGCCTTCGAATTCCACGCAAACTGATTCTTTGGAAGCTCCGAGATCAAGGTGGATTTGCTGCAGGAAACAGTTCAAAGGGTCCAGCTTCCTGTCCAGGAGCTTTTCAATAGCTTCCAAAGACACAGGTTGCTGATTTCCACCGGGGTTCACGGAGGTAATCTCAATGTCATCATCTGGGCCTTCGTTCCCCTTGTGTTTCTTCTGCAACGGACTTTTGATAGGAGTTGCCATGTTTCGAAAGAGCGGAAACGCGCGTTTTTTCAATGTGACTTGAGCCTTCACCTTGAGCCAAAAGGTGAAGGCGTTGTCGATCACACGAAGCTTACCATCAGCTTGCACGGTCAAGAAACGCTCGAGGGGGCGCCAGCCACCACTCCCAAAGCGCGCATCAAGCTGACTGCGAGTCATCCAGTCACTACAGAAGCCCTTGGCCTGTTCCTTCTCAGTGACACGCTGGATTTCCGCAGCATGCTTGCCTGGAGATGACTGCATGATTGCATCAACCGCAGCCACTGCATCAGATGCAAGCCAAGCTTGAGTATCAGGGTCCTTGGAGAGGTGGGGGGTTATGGCACGAAACAAGCCCGAAACTGGAATCTCACCCACAATGGAAAAACCCTGAATCATCTCCTTAGCCTGCCAAACGTCAGGCCAGCGCAGCAGTGACGTGAAGAAAGCAATGACAGCAGCATTCTTATTGGCAGCCACGCGAGTTGCACTATCACACCTGAATCTACTCAACGTCTCCTGCAAGGGGCTAGCAGCTTTAACCACCGAGCGGAAAACTTGGCGCTGACGCTTCGCGAGCAACGGAAGGAGCTCGCGCCAGACGCCTATCGTGTAGGTCACAAACTCGACATCAGCATCAGGCCATTCGCGCGTCAAGAATGGAGACGGGAGCGCAGATGATTGCAACATGTGCTGCTCTTTACCGAGCCCTGGCGGAAGCAGATGGTCCAAGCCACGCTCGCTCTCAGATGAAAAGCGTTGGCCCGAAAGCCCAGCATAAATCTGAGACCGTTGGCGCGCCCCGATGGCGCTGGGTGGTAGCTCACGCCACTCTGCACCTCGCGACATCTGAAATGCGGCGAAAGCTTGCAGTAGGGCGGTATCACAATGCGACAATGACAGGGTGCAGCGATTCCAAATGCTTGCTTCCACCTGGAAAACAGAGAGCTGCGCCTGCATGCCGCACATCACAAAAGCTGGGCAACAACGACAGTACACAAAGCAAACTAGGAATGTGAAACCATTTCCTAGCAAACTATTTCTGCGTTGTGTGCGGAAAGCAGCCGCACAAGGCACAGCTGTGGTTGCTGACGGCGGCACTCCCAGCATCTGAGACCGCTCGGACGGTGAAGTTTGCCACGTTTGCCCACGCCACAACAAGCTGTGTTCCTCGTAAGCACTAGGAGGGGGCCGCGAATCACTAGACCAACGCTCAACTGCTTGCGGTGACGCCGGTTGCACGCCATCCACGGGATGGTAAAACTCACGTGTGAATGTAAAGATGGCCGGGGCCTTCTCCTGCATCACCATGAGTGGGTCGGAAATAAGCTGAGAGCCCTGCTCACAATGAATCTTGGGCGGTACAGGTTTGTCGCTTGTCCCCCTTATAGCACAGCTGAAGAGGAGATGAAGAACGTTCATCCCAAACCCAACCATCAGGCAAGGAACCCTGAGAGGAACCCAAGTGCCTAGAGTTGCCCACTAGCCAAAAGAGCCGGTCACGGCGGCACCAACCGCAACAAGCTGCATTGATGCGCACCGGGGTCCTTGGAGCCACCGGCTATACGTGGAAACAACATCGCTTGGGGCATTGGCCACATTCTCTAAGAAGGTGATGATCTCCAGACCTTTGCACGCGGGACGCTGACGTAAGGATGACACCAACTGCTGTAACAAGAATGGTTGTTGGGACCTTGGGTCACGCAAGCCTTGCCGTCGCATGTTGAGCGCACTGTTCCCTTGACAGGGTGAGCCCCCGCCGACAAGAATCCCGCACACTTGCCGGCGCTCCAAAAAGGGAAGCAGCACGTCAACTGATACAGCTTCCACGTGAGGCACATGGACAACGCTTGGCATGGTACTCTGCACGCATGTAACTGCATCCTGATCACACTCAGCTGCGAAAGCCCAAAGTGCATCCCAAGCGACAGGCAAGCTAAGCAAAGCCCGCCAAAGCCACTCCACAAAAGCACAAGCCACTTCCCATGCGGAGTCCTGGACCAAGGGACCTGCAAGAGGTCGCCAGCCCCCTTCCACACCACAGGACGCGCCGCCCTCAAGCGTTGCGCAATGGGGGCGCATGAGGATGCCTCATCATGTGGCTGAGTGCAAAGTATCTGGCGATCGGCAGCTGTTGAAGATGACTGCAACTCAAGCTTCCGCGCTGCCTCAGACGAACTGCATTGTACCACACGCACAGGTTCAGCAGGCCGGGGAAGAGCATTGGGGAAACCAGGCGGGCAGGGGACTAGCCTAACAACCCGGTCCCCAACCCCAGCAGCCGAACAGCACGGCAATGGGAAACCCAAAGCCACCAGCTCATCACGCACAGACTCAGAGTCATGACTGACATGTGAAGTGGTATAGGCTGTTACAGCCCACCGCTCTCCTTGGAAAGGTTGCGTAGCATGCAAACACTGGGCATCAAAGGTGAGCGGCTGCTGCAATGTGGAATGCACACGACCTCGTACAGGGTGGCCCTCAGGATCGCGCATTTCACAATCACCATGCGCATCAGCCAACCACAAACCGCCACCCCTGAACGAGCCTACCGACACGGTGCAGTTACTGGATCCTGGGAGGTTAGCCGAATCGCCATGCATCACAGCAACATGATTGTGGTTCACAGCAACGCTACTCCAGCACTGGCCCGGGAACAAAGAGGCGAGCCATGCATTCAAGAAGCAAACCACTGATGGCAGCTTCGAGGTCAAAGGAGTAACACCTTGCCGCGGTGCATGGTGAAAGTGGCCCAAGACAAAGTATTGCACAGCAGCAGCAGAGCCTAAGACCTGGGGTCGATTGTTGGGGGCGTGGCCCGGAAAAGCGGATCACAGAAGCTCCAACCAAGCTGCGTACGAAAAAGACCTCTGTCCAAGCAAATCCGAAGCCAGCTGCTCTGCACTAAGCTTGTCGCCACCATCTGACGCCTCCACACAGTCATCGGGGGGCCCCCCTGGAGGCAATGGAGGGCTATCCCCAATCCCCCCTTCACCATAAATGGTTAGCCCTGGAATGGGATGTAGATCCGCAGGGCCTGCCACTATCCAAACGAACATCACACACATGAGCATCCGGGCACTGAGGATTCTGACATCCACGATCGTCGTTATGCGGCTTGCAAATGCAGCGACCTCCCTTCAACATGCTCACTGTGACAACCTTTCTGCGCTTGGCTGGGGAATCATCCGAACTCACGAACCTTGACGGCGGTGGCGGGACATTCACTGCCTCAAGAGAGCGAGCCGTAGACGGAGATCTCCAATCCAAATGATGTTCACGGAGTGATTCCAAAAGTGCGTGCTCGGCTATCATTCCTCTGCGCACCTTGCCCTCCATCGTACCACGAGTGAGCAGGTCCAACTTGGACATCCACGCTAAGTTCTGTTGACCGTAGAGAAGTGTGTGCCTCAAGACAAAGTCTGCATCTTCGAGGGCACAAGTGAGAGTCATCATGATGTACTCCTTGCCATCCAAGCACTTGGCCTTGAAGTTTCCGCTCCAGCTCCAAGCGTAGCAGAGAATGCGAAGCTTCAGATAATACTCCACTACAGACTTAGGAGCCTGGCTGTGGGTCTTGTTGAACTGGTCACGCCCTTCTCAAAACTGATCTTGTCCTCATCCAAAGGAGATGCGCCGCCAACCACGGACTTCACCTTACTCATTTCCATGATGGTGAGGGCCCTGCGCTTGAATTCGCGCCACACGCGCGCCCTCAAGGAGTCACTTGGATCCAAGTGTGGCTCGATCTTCAAATTGTAACTGCGTTGCCAATCATTGGCCAACTGCTGAAACTGAAGCTCGGGAATCGGCTCCTCCACGTCAGCGGATTCATGCTTAGCACTGGCAGTCTGAGCAGCCTGGATAGCCGTGACACCCGACTGCCATGCAGACTTGAAGCGTGCCAATATCAAGCGCGACTCCCGAATCGACTGGACCTCATCCACAAGAGTCTTCAAACTGGGCCCCCAGGTAGCCTTCTCCACGAGGAAAATGAAGTCCTCCAACGTCTCCACCCGGTGATGGGTAACGAAGTCTCGCATCCATGACTCCTGCACATTAGCAAGGCGAAAGCAGGCTGCTAAGCCCTTGTCGTCCGCATGAAGGTCGATGCTCACAGCAGCAGGCCATGCTAATGCTCAATGACCAATCTTGTGACTCGAGCCCCAAGCGGAAAACTCGCCAAGGAGCAGCTCCAAGGAGCTAAGGCATCCCCGAGCAGAGCTGACTTGGTACAGAGACCACGCGCTGCACAAGATTGTTCCGCTCCTCCGCACAGTAGGCCGGTGCCCCAGAAAACATCAGCTGGAATCAGCAACCTAGCACTAGCCCTGCCACTCATGCATGTGTCGCTGACGCCTCTCATGCTTGGCCTCTTGCTGGATCCGACGGCACGAAATGCAGGAATGGTGATTATGCGGCCCAGAGCGGTTACAAGTCCCCGCCCCCGAGCAGCATGCACATGGAATGCCACACCAAAAGCCTGGCCGCCGGTAGCCAGTGCCACCTGAGTGAGCTTGAGCACTTCCCGAAGCAGCAGAAGACGCCTGACGATCCACGGGTGGTTCCGGCTCAGCTTCCACTTCCATCTCTCGTAGGACCTGAAGAACGGCCACACGTAGCTCGCGAGGCCACGCCGCCACCATGCGACGCAAATCTTCAAGACTCAACTGGGTCGCCATGAGACACACCCAAAATGCGGCAGCTGAGCTAACTCTAATCAGCAAGAGCACTGACGGCGACATGGCATGGGAAGGAAGAAAAGCCAGGGGGGCCACATGCTCACACACTTCCGCAGACAATTACGCCAAGAGCTCGCGCGGCACTCACACTGAAGACAGTTGCAACTCCTGGACTGATGCTCGCAAGGCTGGGGGCACAGCGGCCACACAGCGTTGGCAGAGGACATCCAGTCGCTGTTTGGACAAGTCACTACCCTGGCGTGACGGCACTTGATGAAAGCACTTCGAGCGACACCAAGGGATAGGCCTGCCATCCTCAGTGGAAACCTCTCTCACAATGTGAAGACGAGCACTCTGTACAAACCAAGCAACTGCTGACAACGACTCTACATCTGGCCAAGCTCGCTCGCCATCCTCAGAGCCCGAATCTGTAGAGGATGAACACGAGCTCGATGCATCCGAAGAGGAGTCCACCTTGGTGGACGAACGAGCTGGAGCCTCCGCAATGTGATGCCACATCAAAGAATGCCGGCGCCACTCCGCCCCTCAGCTGCACGAGCCAAAGGATGACGCAGAACTGCCCGCAACACATGCTCCTTGGACTTGTTGACACTGCTGAGCACCCGCTGACCAGAGTAACGAACAGACATAACATCATGTCGCTGACGCTCCTGTTTGGCTCCTCCGCCACGTGGCACCTCAACCCAGGAACCGATAGCCTGGGCCTCCGAATCGGACATGTTCAAGACGTTCGCACCAGTGGGCACGAAACGCCGCAGCCGATTATAAGTAGCTGTAGAAGCCAGCTCTGACGAAACACCAAAGCGCTGCAGTGCCCCCTGCAAGAACTCCAAGAAAACAACGGGACTGAGACGCTTATGCAAAAGAACCCCAGTTGATTCTGTAATTTGCCATAAGTCAGCTGCCTGCAACTCCAAAGCCGGCCACAGAAAATTGCTGCCCGGAAGCAAGGTACTCGAATAAAATTTCCTGAGAACAGCCAGCACATCAAATGCTCCCCAATGCAAACGCGGAGACGCCCACCTGTAAGGCGGCCGCACACCTTGAGTTCGGCTCTTACCCTCCGAGCATTGAAACTCAAGCCAGGAATCATGGTCTGCAACCAACTGAGATCGCTGAAAATGCGATAAGCGAAAGCAAGAAGAGGCCGCCTGGAGCAAGAAGCATACCACCAATTGAGGAGTACGTGTAAGCCCAGCAGCCAAATGCAACATGTTGATAAACTACCACGGTTGAAGTTCTACAACTTGCTGAGTGCAATGGCCCTGCGCATGAAAACGAAATGGCTGGACCATAAAGTGCTCGACATGCCAACCGGCCCCCAAGTTAACATTGGTCCACGCAAAAGCCTGGTACACCGAAGAAGCTGCCGTAGGTCCTCCCAGACTGACCTCCCGAAGAAAGGAAGCCAAGTCCGTAGGACTCGGCCGAAATGCGCACACTTGATGTTCTTTGGCCTAGCGCACCCATCTGCGCAAAGTAGCTGCAAGCATACCTAGACGCTGCACAGACAGTCGCGAGGCGGCATGCATGATTGTGCTCGTGGCCAAGGCAACCTCATGATCGTTTGACCAATCTAAAGAAGGGAAGCCCAACTCACTGACATTCAAGAAGAGCTCCGAGCAATTGCGAAAAAGCGCCATAAGCTTAGGAAGCTTCTCATCCCGAACAGCCGGTGGGGCCGAAGAAGAAGCCTTGGCAACCACAGGCCGCACCTGCCCACCAACCAGTCGCCAGGGAACCAAAACCCGACGGCGCTTAGCAGATGAAGCCCTTGCAGCGGCCGCAGAAGAGCCAGCATGGGCCCCACTATGAACAGACAATCGCTCAGCTGTAACAGCAGCAGCAGCCGACCGCACATCCTTAGAGGCTAAGCGAGCAACTGTCCTCCAAAGCTGGACGATTCCCGACGCATCACCTTCAAGGCCGGCCTCCCTGGCAAAAACAAGATATTCAGCACAGAAGGAATCCTCATCAGCCCAACCGTAGCGCATATCACTGCAGTGTTCGATGCCCTCGCCCAGGAGCCAATGACCCACTGACTCATGCTGATCACTCAAAAGCAGAGAAAGCTCAGAATCAAACATGGCACAAGTCAGGAGTCGAAAATCTAATCTGGTCCTTGCGAGGCATTCGAGAAGCACCGCTGCGGACCATGACATGTGCAAAGCTTTCAAGCTCCCTTTAGACCCCATAGCCAACCGGCCTTTCTAAAAGGGATGCGCAAAAGAATCAGAGTGCCGGAGGAAGTGGGCCAAATGCAAGATCATGTGAACATACACGAATAAATCGGCCACTTGTGACAGCAAGATACGGCTCTACCAATTTCGCAGGACAGCGCATGCACAGCAAAAGGAATGTCAATATGCAACCAAACCAACTATTTCAAGTGATGCTGATGCCAAGCACGGAGAAGCACCAAGAAAGCCAATAATCTGACTAGGAAGAAAACGTAGCACGTAGGATCACTAGCTCGGTAAGCCAGTAAGCATCAGGCCACATCCCGAGCGTGACGGGGCGATGAGAATCATGGGCCCAACACTGAAACAGCTACGTGCACGTACGTAGTGATATGGATGCGCCCTATAGCGCCTAATTAGACCTTGCGACAGAGAAAAAGCGAGCGGCCAATCCAAGCTGAAAACCCACCAAACAACAGGCTGGGAATCTATTCTTCGGAAACAAGAATGCTCGCAGCGCAGCTACGTGCCACGCTGCATGCAAGTGCGGGCTTTCAGCACCGATACGGAAATGCAAGAGTTCTCGACACAGGCAGGCTTGAGATGGCTTGAGGAGTGGCGCAGGGCGACGAAGATGCAAAGTGGCAGACAATGGCGGAAAGTGCCTCCATGAAGGTGCCTTTGATGCGCAACATGATGTTGTCGTCATCCTCAGACGGTAAACTGAAGCCGTGTGCGGCATTGTGTATCTGAAACCGCTCCTTGCTGAAGGCCGCTGTGGGTGGAGCCTGCAGTCCCGGAATTTCAACAGCAATTGCGCTGGAATGTCCAAGACGAAGACTGTCTGCTGACGTTGAAGACCGCCGCGACCTAAGTCTCTTAGCCGTGACACAGGACTCTCAGAACTGGGGGCAGTGAAGTACATCGTATCGTGCCCAGACAGCCGATGATACTACATCTGCTGCGACGGAAGCGTTGCTTAACCAATTCCCCGAACTGCCATAGCAGAGGTCCCCAGATGTCCCCAGCGTGCAGACCTTTATTTAAGCCGACTGATTCGACAAGAACACAAGACAAGATGTAAGCTGACTGCGTGGGCCAAGGAGGTTGGATGCCTGCAATGCAACGACTGCGAGAATGAGTTGCAGCCGCAACCGAGCAGACTGCAACACAACAAGAAACTTATCATGCGATTGCCGTCATCCCTTTCAGTCAGAACTTTCAGCTTCCAACACTGACACAAGACCAACAGCGTCTCAAGCTTTTTTTGGTGCAGTTCGGAAAGGACTGGTGTACAGATATCATATGCTGCAAAGGATTGGACAGAAGCTCCAAGATGCAGCGAGAGTCTGATAGTGCAGTCTGATTCTGATCGGAGCACACTGACATTATGGTAAACCTCGTTCGTGGTTTGGAGTATCCAGGATCACAACGAGCCTCACTTTGATGCCTCGTCGGTGAAGGCAAACAGTGGGTACTAATCTGGTCTAAGCGTAGCGCAATGTCATGCTGTTTTCACAGCTTTCACAGCTCCGCCCGGCCCTGCCTCGAACTCTGGGTCGCTTTCACTGGCAGATCGGTCCTTTAAAGAACTCCTAATCGGCTTTCACTCTTCAGACAGCGGGTATTGAGGATCCGCAGAGTGTTGGGTACTCGAGGGAGTGCATCGGTGGGGTAAATTGCAGCTTTGTGCCGTTTCAAATCATGCAAACGGACGGGCATCGACAAGCTTCTAGTTCGTTGGACTGCCCGGAAATTCAGAGCCTCGTGCTGAGACTAGAATGCAAAACAAAACCACGAGCTCGGGCACACACTGTACCAGCACATACCAGCAGCACAGATGCTTTGTTCGCTTCGATGTGCTGCGACGGCTTTACGGTTGACTGCTTGCATGTTGTTTTGGACAGATGCGAGGCCCTTGTATGTGAAGTCACAGCACGGCAACATGCAAATATTTAGCGCGCGGGGCTAGAGCAGCAGGTGAAGCGATACACCACTTCAGGCCGAAGTACATTTACCTTTGTTTCGGCACCATTCCCTTCCGCAAATGGCAACCATCTCGGTAGCAACGTTATATGTCGATTCACAGTGGTTGCTGCACGGCTTTTCTTCAATAAAATGCAAACACACTTCGTGGCCCTGTGGAGGCCACACGTGTGTCGGTCATGGTTTCGGCTCGATTTAAAAATGGCAACCCTCTCGGTGGTGGTGCGAGATTCTGTAATGGTCATGTGACACGCCGTGGCAAGATCGTGAACAAAGTTATGTGGATGCTCCGGCTGGTAACGATGATATTAGTGTTGATGATGATGATGATCATCATCATCCTCATGTTAACGATGCCGAGGGTGATGGATGCCTCTTTGCGGGATGTCACATTGCAAACTCGTGCCGACAACATTGAACAAACGAAAAACGCCGCAGCTTGCAAGCTTCGACAAGCAAAACCACGCTCCCACCAGCCCCACGATTTGCTTTGTGAATGCTACAACATGGGCCATGGCGGCTATGGGTCGTGCATCGTTGCACATGAGCTTTGGCGAGATTTCGCTCTGCGAATGCTGTAATTGGTGTCGGCACATGTTACAATTGGCAACGCTCTCGGTGGTCCCGCGTCGTTTTTTAATGGGAAGGACCAGTGAGCGAAAGCTAAAGACTCATTTTCAAACCAACGCATGGGCCTCTGGTCGTCCTGGTGGTCCCGGTGGTCCTGGTGGGTCCTGGTGGGTCGTGGTGGGTCGTGGTGGGTCGTGGTGTCGTGGT